GCGGAAATCTCATTTCGACTTTCCTCATAAATTCATATTAACAGACACTAAAATAAAATCAGATTTTCTCAGAACTGGAGCAAATTCTGCATTACTGATTTTTTAAACTTAAATATCTTCAGAGATATTGCAAGAATAGAAATAGGAAACAAGGTTTTATTGGTCCCCTAAAGATGCGTGTCCACTGCACTCAAGAACAGTTCGCGAGCAATTAATCGTTAACGTCTATATAAAAAAAAAAGTTTAAAACCTAATTCTCATGCTAATACTTCCAGGTCATGAATTTGAAGTTGTTTCGGTATTCTCCTTAAGCATCAAAAAATTTTCATTCGTCACTTCGTAAGTGGTACAAAGTGCGAAGTTTTCTACGTCTCTGTGTACATCAATCTGAAGTTACATTTACAATGTTACTCGAGCTACTCGCGATCTTCGTTCGTCATACGAACTGTTCGTGATATGTTTGCTGGTCGATAGGCACCTTAACAAACGTGTGACTGAAATTTACGGCAGAAAATGATTGTATTAAAAGAACTGTTACTTCGCGCGAACGGTTAAATACCAATAAAGGAATGTCGCAAACTGCCACATTGCTCTGAATTTAGATGGCAAAATTTTCTTTAATATATGCCCATGCCATTTGTTTGTTATTTTGTCATTGTCCAGTTGAATTATCATATAAAATTAATTTTTTATGTAAAATGATACCCACATACTTGCACAGCAGTATTTGCATGACCACTTTTGAAATTCCAGTACTATATAAATCATTCAAAATTAATGGAGTCGGGTATATAATAATAGCAATTTCATTGCATCGGTGATATCATGATTTGGTAGTCCCAAGTGGATTCAAATGAACTGAATTGTTATCGATTTAAATTTAAATAAAAATAATATTTTTCATAAAAAATATCTGGACTGCAAAAATTTCTTACGTAAAAGGTTATCAGTTCAAGGGAAAGCCGCATTCCTCTCTGCAATGAAACGCCTTTTATAAGGAAAAAGTGCCGAAATACGAAACACATTAACGTAAGAAATGCCATTAATTATTGGTAAACACGGGCGATATATAACAGCCGAAGTGCTTTAACGACTGGGCGACGCTTCGAGTGCATTTTGGAAAAAAGATTTATGCATACCGTACTTGCGGGTATTTATTTTTCCCTAAAACTCGTTTTTTGGCCACATTTAGTGAAATACGATACCGCTTATCGAGGTCCCTTGTGGCATATGGTCCGAGCAATAAATAAAAATCATTGGATAATTTGAATTTTACGTACCAAGAGTAAATGTAGAAGAAAATTATTTCTGTCGCACAGCTGCAAAAAAATACGTTAATTTATTAAATTTCTTTTTCAGAATATATCTTCAAAACTACTTCAAATTGGGTAATATTAAAAATGTTTCCCTAAATTGTCATCAAATTAAATTATATATGTTCTTTGATACCAAATATCTACTTTGTTAAAGAGGCTACTCCATAGTCGTTAATAATAATTATCTAAAATGAAAAAAGTACTAAATAATGGAAAAAGCATACTACATATTTAATTAAATATTGTTGCAAAAAATTATCTGGGATTCCTGTTTATAATAACTATAATAAATATTACTTTGGACACAGATCAACACCAAAATTAGCAAGGATAGATTAACCAGCATATTTCTGCATTTTCAGGAATTTTGAAATATTGTTCCCAATAATCCCAATACAAATTTTTGAATTGACATGTAGTAGGAATGAAGTTATACTGATGGCTAAATATGTATTTCAACATAAATCGAAAGGTCAGTTAAAATATTAAAACATTTTAGCTAATTGCTCATTTCCTCAACTATTCAGACTAGGCGGAAATAGGTCCAGTTTCTACGCCATTACCATATCTGTTACATATGTTGATATTTGTTGTTAGTGTTTTCCGAAATGTTTACGTGAAAATATTGTTTAGAACATGCACCGAAAGATTTAAAAAGGTATTATTTTCTAATTAAATAACTATCATTTCCATATAAAATATGTTTTAATGTACGAAATTAAGTTTTCCTTTTGTGTCTTATTTAGTACAAATAATTACGTAAAACAAATTATGTAATTTGATGTAAAGTAAACAATCGGTAAGTCTACGCTGTGAATTTATTTTTCAGTGCCATTCTTAAAAATGAATATTTCATATTATAGGTATATTTAAAACTGAATCTTTCATATAGCTATAGCATATCAGTAACATAAAGAAGTGTTGAAATAAAAATTGCACCAGTTCAATTTCTTTGAATTTTTAAATAATTTTCTATTATAGTTACAGAATGTCCAATTTATTTGGGTGGTGCCTAATTTTTTCAAATGGAACACATTATATAGATGTTATTTTATTTTCAAGTTTCTCGTTGAATTTACGACCTACTTTGGTAAACATAGGGTGTATTTAGTACTCAACCTGAGGCTAAATATACCTTTTCGGTGTTATTTGAGATTTTTTTTAATGGCTTTTACAAAATCCTCGAAAATATCTATCTTATGCATTACCTACTTGATATACTTTAATTAATGAAAACTTGTGGTAAATTTGACAAACACGAATGTGAAATTGGATCTCTTTGAAGATTTTAAGAAATATTAGGGTCTATTTAACAGCACTATTTCTGATCTAAATACCAAAAGTCAACATATTCCAGATAAATGAATTGCTATAGTCCCTTATTCTCTCAATCTCACAAAATCTTACTTTCTTTCGTGCGGAAAATTTATTCTTCGCTTCCTACAATAATGCAAAATCGAAAAAAGCAAGTTTTCAGTAACTTTAAACCACAAATTCTTCAAAGTACTGCCTAAGTACTAAGAATTTTAGAGACATCCTATATGCGCAAAAAAACGATAGATATTTCGAATAATTGTTATTGTAGATCGTTTAAGTGTTTTTTCAATAATATTTTGTTTTCTTTAATCATTATTAATCATTAATCATTATTTTATTATTATTATTATTAAAAAAAATCAAAATATCTGTAACTAAAAAAAAAAATTACACAGGTCAACATTTGATCTAGGGACCGTCGTCAGAAAAGACTATGGTATATAAGGGTTTTTTGGGTCGCTGATCACGAATCCGAGGTTAAGCTCCATCACATCAGGTTCAAGGTGATTTGAAGGTCAAATCAAGAAATGACCTCCAAAAAATCTGAAAAAATGCATGCTTATGTTTTAGAGGTCACTGAACCCGAATTTTTTTTTACCAGTTTAACTTTTCTATCTAAAATACTTCATGAATGACCTTGAAATGACCTTGAATGACCTTTATGGTGTATCGTAGTGTAAACAAACCTCGAATTCGGGTTCAGTGACCTCTAAAACATAAACATGAATTTTTTCAGATTTTTTGGAGGTAATTTATTGATTTGAGCTTCAAATCACCTTGAACCTGATGTGATGGAGCTTAACCGACCTCGGTTTCCTGATCAGCGACCCAAAAAACCCCTATATACCATAGTCACTTCTGACAATTGTCCCTAGATCAAATGTTGACCTGTGTTATTGATCTTACTAGAGCTATGGATCGTCTTAAATAGAACACATGTATGGTAAGAATTATCAAGCTTAATAAAAGGTAATTTCTGCATATGTCAGTTCAGCTAATTAGTGCTCTAAATCCAAGGCGAAAGTATTGTAATCGTCCATTTAATTGTTTTTCAATAGTCAAGTATAATTTATTATAAAAATGTTAAACTAGTTGTTAGTTAGACAGTTGTAAAGTAATACTGAACTTAATTTGATTATATTTTGTTAAATCTAAATTAATTATAAAATATCAGGCTGCCATGACCCAGTAAACTCTGTGGATTTTGTACATTCTAATTGTGATTAATTAATTAATTATATTTATCCCGCGTTAAATATAGAAACTTGACCTTTTAAATCCATTTTCCGTTCGTATTCAACCGCATGCCAGAAGTGTATGGTCTAGCTCAAGCAGATCTATATTTTACAATAATAGCCGCACTTTTCTGCATAAGCCTCTGTATAATATAAATCACAAGCCAATTATTCCACGGTACTGGAATTATGCCACGGGATGTCGTAAATTAATATTAACAATATAAAATAGTAACCGCCAGTGAAGCTTTGATTATACGGCTAATGTGATCCAACTAATTGAAAAGTTCTGAGTCATTACGATTCACCATTCTTCCGAGATTGAATCGCGTTATACTCGTAAATAGGTACGCTCTTTTGTAATCCGCAACAGTAAAAGGCAAACTCTCCACTGGCAGGAAGAATCTATTTTTAGGCGATTAAATAGTTTAATGCTAATGCAATCCAAGTCGTGTTGTGCTCGCTGAGCCCGGAGCTAGCTCAAATCTGACCCATGAGAAACTAGAAACTATTGTTATTAATTAGGAAAGAGCAACTTCGGCCGATCCCTCGGTGTGTAAGATCTACTTACTCGCCGTCGTAGCCTCGCTTTTGAACTAATGGTGATCTCGTTTTCTCGGTGCCACATCGGCATTGCTTCAAAAGAACGTCTCCTAAATAAACAAAATACAAATGTTTTATCATGTTCCAGTTGTATTAATGATCATCTCCCCTGAAATCTTTACAATCACGTTGCAAGTTAATTTAAAATGAAATGTTCCCAAGTTAATGTTTAATACTGCTAGATCAAAACAACTCAATTAAAAATACAAAAGAAATATTATTCTTTGTCACACTTAATCTTTGAAGGATTCTCAAAGGATAGTTAATGGTTTTGTCATTTGTTTCTATGTCTTCATTTCTTTACCTGAATTCAATGTGAATCCTATTTTACATAAAACTGTAATTAAATAAAAATGTAATAAAATTCCTTCATCGGAGATGAATCATCCATTATTTAAACAATGTTTAAACCTAAACTTAATGGAATATCTTGCATGAAATATCAGCCTGTTGTTACTTTTCAAAATTTTTTCTTAAGCTAACCATAAAAGGTAAAGGATATTGTACTGACTCCTGACTCTCTTTCCAGATCTGGCAGCAATAAGGAGACTACTGGATACAGAGAACTCGGCAGGAATAATCTGCCCGAGTTGCGACATGCCTTTCGACAAGGGTAAGAAGCGGAGGCTCATCGACAATTGTGGACATGAAAGGTGCTACTCATGTATGTTCACCAACGAGGTGTGCCCACTATGTTCCGGAAACAATTCCACGACTCAAAATGGTAAGCTATAAAGTATATCACTTCGGGTCAATAATTTACAGTTAGCGCTATGCTACTATTGATATTGATGACGTGCTTAACAATAACCTATCCTAACCTATTGTGTGCTAAATAGAAGCGACTTGTCCGTTGTTCGGTTGGACGTTTGTTTAACGCCGCCTTTGACCAAATATGTTGCAGCCAAAAACGGTAACAAGTTGCTGAATCGTACGATATTTGTCGTATACTAACATTCTTTGAATATGATATCTGCTAATACCTATGTTTTCTGACCTTTTCCTGAGTGACATATTTGGATGACTTTGACATTGACAAGGAAATATCCATGGTAATTATATGGTATACAGGGTGTTTCAGTTCGAGTGAATCAAATTTTAACCACAGATAGAACTCGATAAGTAATTAAGAATTGCCTTATAAACCAAGGTTCTATGTCTCACCGTTTTCGCTCTACAGGGCCGTATTGGTCGGTTTTTTACATCATATTATTTATTATATTTCTGGTATGGTTGTAACAATTTGATTCAAATCTGGTATGATGTTAATACTTACGAATGTCTATAATTTACTACAAAATTTACAAATTTTTTGTAGGTTAGTGGCGTAGAAACGGGTAGGGTAGCGGGATTTTTTGCCCCAACTTCTATGCCAATGACCTAATACTTATTTGGGGTAAATTTTTAGATTCCTTGGACAATTTGGCATAATACTTGTTTGAAATCGGTAAAGTGTCTCGTTCTGCCGAAAATCTCAATAATGTGGGAGGCCGTTCTTCTGATAAGGAATCAAGAATCAAGTTTAGTTCAGTTTAGCAGTTATTAAATTACGGTTGAAAACAATATTAAACAATACGTCTCTACACTTCGTATATTATTTTTATAGCATTTATAGTGTGGTGAGTTTCCTTTCTGAGCTCTGTTTTATGTTGCACTACAGTGCGGTACACATTCAATGATACCTCCTTTACATTTCATTTATGCTATTCTGAAACTATTATAAGTATTTTTGCTAATTTAACGTTTCATTTATGTCAAATTAGATATAATTTGTTTAAAAAAATTACACCCCTCATTGACAATTGATGTGAGGCTCATATTGTAAGTCTGCGCTTTGGGAGTATGTATTCACAAAGATTGCTATGCAAAACATAACAATAATGACATTATCTGTCATCAGGAATTGTTATTTAATTATAAAGATTTGCAACAGTACTTACCATTTGTCAAAATATGGATGAATATTCAAGTGAAGAATACGCTGATATGATTTTTGTGTACGGATATTGTCATGGTCGTGCTCGAGAAGCAGAAAGAGAATATCGGAGAATGTTTCCAAATCGTCGGCGTCATCCCTCTTTTGGCGTATTTATAAGAACCTTTAGAAGACTGCGACAAACAGGTTCTGTGCAAGTAAGAAAAAATCAAGAAGGTAGAGGATATCGTAATATTCAACAGTACGAGGAAAATATTATCGAACGGGTAGTTGATACTCCTGAATTGAGTGTGAGACAAATCGGACGCGAATTACAGATACCCCACGTATCTGTATGGAGGGTCCTTCATCAAGAGCTGCTACATCCATATCATTACCAGCAAGTGCAACATTTACAAGAAGGTGACAACCTTCAACGATTACAATTTTGCAACTGGATCCTCCAAAATTTGACGGAAGATCCACTCTTTTTACAAAATATTATTTGGAGCGATGAAAGCCTTTTTCCTAAAAATGGACTGAATAATTTTAGAAACTTACATCAATGGTCATTACAAAATCCCCATTTAACAAGAAGAAGGGCCTTTCAGCGCAGATTTAAGATTAATATGTGGGGAGTAATTTTTCGAAACAAATTATTTCTTTTTGAAATAAATGGTATACTGAATGGGCAAAGATATTTAGAATTGCTACAGAATTCCACACATGAAATTCTAGACGAGGTGCCATTAAATGAAAGACAATACGTTTATTTCCAACAGGATGGTGCACCTCCGCACAATGCAAGAGATGTTAGTGCATGGTTAACGGAAAACTATGGACATAGGTGGATAGGAAATAGAGGACCAATACATTGGCCACCGCGATCCCCAGACCTTAATCCAATTGATTTTTTTGTATGGGGTCATATAAAACAGCTTGTTTACCGCACTGTCGCGCAAGATGAAAATGATCTCAGAGAAAGAATCCACGATGCTGCAGATGCAATAAATAATACAGAAGGGATTATGTTTGATGTCTATCAGTCGTTGGTTCGGCGATGCAGAGCATGTATAAGAGCCAATGGGGGTCATTTTGAACATGTTATTTAATATTGTTTTATGTTAGTGTTATTTGTTATGTTGTTATTTACCGTTTTGTATTATTACTTAAAATTGTAAAAACCGTACCTACAAACTATTACCTATTATTAGCATCTAAGATACAGCAATAAGAAAAAGAATATTTCATTGTTTGCTGTTAACATTTTTACATGAAACGTTCCATTTTAATTTAATACATAATATTAAAGTAATATTACTTTGAAATGTATTTGCTATCATTACGAAACTAAATGCTTTATCAGAAGAACGGCCTCCCACATTATTGAGATTTTCGGCAGAACGAGACACTTTACCGATTTCAAACAAGTATTATGCCAAATTGTCCAAGGAATCTAAAAATTTACCCCAAATAAGTATTAGGTCATTGGCGTAGAAGTTGGGGCAAAAAAATCCCGCTACCCTACCCGTTTCTACGCCACTGACCTACAAAAAATTTTGTAGTAAATTATAGACATTCGTAAGTATTAACATCATACCAGATTTAAATCAAATTGTTACAACCATACCAGAGATATCATAAATAATATGATGTAAAAAACCGACCAATACGGCCCTGTAGAGCAAAAACGGTGAGACATAGAACCTTGGTTTATAAGACAATTCTTAATTACTTATCGAGTTCTATCTGTGGTTAAAATTTGATTCACTCGAACTGAAACACCCTGTATATGTAAAATAGTTAAAAATTGCGGCATCTTATTTGTAAAATGTGATTATTCTTCTTTTCTAACTAAATCCCGTTTTGAATCATAGACCAATATTCTATATTTATGGTGATGCGTTCTATAGCGTCGGATAAAAATAAAAACGATTTATTCAATTTATCTTACAACATTTTTCTTCAAAACTGATATACAATTTTTTAACTATAAACTTAGTTTTGTTAGACCACACCGATGCAATACCAAACTATTCGATTCACGTAAACAGTAACTGCAGGTGGAATAGAAAAGCAGTTCCAATAATTAAGTATGTACGCGGGTACTTCGCAATCAGTATGATTTAAATCGATTCATCGATCGCTTACTTAATAATCCGTGACCATGATTCAAATCGGCCTGCCGCGGAACTGCCATTTTATTAAACAAATACACATCGGACGTAAATAGGTCACTTGATCCTTTCCCAGTCCCACGGCATTTCGACCGCACGGCCGCAAAACAAATCGAGAAATAAGCGTTTTTTTGCCGGGATAATTTAGTAATTTAGGAGTTGATTGCCTTTTTAGCCCGGGGGCATCTTCTCAACAGGTATATGCTCTTAAGGCTGTCTATCCCTGAAAATGTCACGGTGATGTGGCGGTTTCGCTGTGGCCGATCACTCTTGCGCCGCTCTCGGGTCACTTAATGACAGCTCACCTTTCAATTAATCGTACCGTGAAGTTGTGTAACGGGGCAACGGGATATACAGGGTAGGGCCTCTCTCAGAGTTGAGCGTAGTTTATTTGTTTGCATTTGCCGCTACTCAACAGAATATGTGAAATATTCCAACTACGGAGTTACACTTTGGATATTATACGAAATGAGAAGAAAAAGGAAAATAAACCAATTTTTTATTACTAAAGAAATTTTGGAGGCTGATATAGCTTACCTTGCAGGACCGCAGTAGAAGTGATAAAGACAGAAGAATTGAATAATAAAGGAAATACCTTTTGGGCAAAAACTTTACTTGGGTCTAGTAAATATAGTTTTAATTTAATAAAGGTTTTATATTACATATTTAAATATATGAACAAATTGCCTCTACCCATCTGAAATTCGTGCACTATATAGATTTGGTTACTCTGGATAAACAAAGATTGATTTGGATAAACAAAGATAAGTCGAAAGTCAATGTTACAATTACATTTTGCAATAGTTTGTACCTCTTCAAATTGCCTGGCTAAAGGCATTACTGAAAACATTTTCCAATGCGATGTATATACGAAGAGTGAAAAAAAGAAGTGGGTTCATATGAAACCCTTGGGGTACACCAGAAATAACAAGTATATGTGAAGATGTACAATTGTTAATTTTTACACAATGAAATCGATTGACAATGTAAAATGAGGCTATTGATTATAGGATTTTAAAAGAAACTATGACTTTCAAGATAGGTATTTTATTACATGAATCGTTCAAATGATCATTTTAGATGAAAAAACCGCGGANGGGTCTAGTAAATATAGTTTTAATTTAATAAAGGTTTTATATTACATATTTAAATATATGAACAAATTGCCTCTACCCATCTGAAATTCGTGCACTATATAGATTTGGTTACTCTGGATAAACAAAGATTGATTTGGATAAACAAAGATAAGTCGAAAGTCAATGTTACAATTACATTTTGCAATAGTTTATACCTCTTCAAATTGCCTGGCTAAAGGCATTACTGAAAACATTTTCCAATGCCATGTATATACGAAGAGTGAAAAAAAAAGAAGTGGGCTGATATGAAACCCTTGGGGTACACCAGAAATAACAAGTATATGTGAAGATGTACAATTGTTAATTTTTACACAATGAAATCGATTGAGAATGTAAAATTTGATCCCTCTTTAGGCTATTGATTATAGGATTTTAAATGAAACTATGACTTTCAAGATAGGTATTTTATTACTTGAATCGTTCAAATAATCATTTTAGATGAAAAAACCGCGGAGTACTATTAAATTAGAGAGGGTGGAAGTTGGAGATAGGGGTG